CCTCTGCGAAGGGAATTCCTGGCCGGAGTTTGCGCGCTGAGCCGTCGGGCCCTCTGCGAAGGGAATTCCTGGCCGGAGTTTGCGTGCTGAGCCGTCGTGCCGCCTCTGCGAAGGGAATTCCTGGCCTGTTAGTGCTCAGATCTGGGCCGTTTGTTTCCATTCAGGGAGAAACGCCGCTGCACACGGCGTGCCGGCACGGCCTGGCCAACCTCACCGCAGAGCTCCTGCAGCAAGGCGCCAACCCAAACCTGCAGACGGAGGAGGCTCTGCCTTTGCCAAAGGAGTCTGCATCCCCGACCAGCTTGGCGGACAGCGTCTATCAGCAGACACCACTGCACATGGCGATCGCCTATAATCATCCAGATGTGGTGTCTGTCATCCTGGAGCAGAAAGGTAAGTCGGTGGGAATACTGTCCCTCATTTGACTTGTGGACAGCAGTTTAGGATAGTTACAGAGTTGATGTTTCTTCTGTTGGTGAGTTTCGTATAGCTAGTTTCTTACCCCCAGAAGTCCTTTCAGGTCAAATGAGAGAAGCATGTAGTCTTGCTCTTGACTACTGTATGTTCTCAGGATGGGGCCTGCCCATTTCACTTGTTAGGTTAAGGTATTAGAACCTGAATTCTGCCATCTCTCTTACTGAGTATTTCTCCAAGGCAAGCGGATCACCTGAGGTTGGGTAGGTCAAGCAAAGCCTTGCCTTGGCGTGAGTACTATCTTTGAGAACTCTGCGGTGGCAGGCGCCCCATGAGAGAGGAGCCAGGCTGCCCTCAGCCCCTGCGCTACAGAAGCCCCCTTTCCCTTAGAAAGTCTTCCTCGTGCCTTCTTTCCCTTCTTGAGGCTGGTTTTGCTCTTGCCTCAGTCCTTAAGGACAGTGTTTGTTAGCCTTGTGCTTCTGGGGGAAGGTTGGGTTTTAGGTAGTATGTGCCCTTTTTTGGTCCTCACAGAAGTTTTATGATTGTGGGATTGTGTATTAGGAAACTCCATCAGGACATTGCTTCCATCTTGTCTTCAGTCAGCAGGCGGTTAGCGTGTGTTTCCATACCGGAGTCCGTTCTCCTTAGGTGAAGAGCCAGTGTTTCAAGCTTTACAAAGATTCATTTTCCCCATAAGATGTGCTCCAAAATAGGAGATTTCTGGGCTTTGACTCCTGACAAGATTGATCTACTCTCTTTTTATAGCGTTGAACATATTATAGCCTATCAGTCAGTTTCAAACTGAGTTCTTACTGTCCTGAGTGCTCTAAATGAGATCCACGGGTGGTGAAATCATACGTTCTTTTCCTTTCTAAAAAATGCAGCCAATGCTCTTCATGCCACCAACAACTTGCAGATTATTCCGGACTTCAGCCTCAAAGATTCCCGAGACCAGACCGTCCTGGGCCTGGCATTGTGGACTGGTAAGGCTGTGCCAGGGCTGTGGATGTCTGCAGGTGAACAGCCGTCCGACGCGTGGGTGGGTGGGTGAGAGCAAGCAAGCAGGAGGAGAGAGAGCTAATCATTTGGTTGTGAAGTGAACTTTCAGTTAGAGTGAAGCCTGTTCTGTCCGGTGGAAAACTGCTGGCTTTGAAGTTGAGAGGGTGTGTGTTGCTGCAGGATGCAGAGGAAGCGGGAGAGGCTGAGCGCCATTAATCGGGGCTTGCTGTTTTCCCAGGCATGCACACGATCGCAGCCCAGCTGCTGGGCTCCGGGGCCTCCATCAACGACACCATGTCGGATGGGCAGACCCTGCTGCACATGGCCATACAGCGGCAGGACAGCAAGAGCGCCCTCTTCCTCCTGGAGCACCAGGCAGATATCAATGTCAGGTAGGGTGAAGCAGCACTTCCCAGTATAACACCAGTAACATCTAATCGAGGTGGTTCACAAGCATAACCTCGGTTGTAGAAAAGTGTTTTTGTTTCATATTAAATAAAGGAAGGAAAACAATGGCTCTGAAACGTGTGGTGTTGTAACTGAACAGCATCAAGAGACCTGATTTTAGTGGAGAAAAGGAACTGTACTTTGCCCTTCTCTGAACCTTTCAGGACCAGTGCACAATATTGCACAAGTCTCATTGTGAAACACAATCTAAAATCAGGGGTTTTTTTCGAGGCAGGATCTCACTCTGTTGCCCAGGCTGGAGTGCAGTGGCACAATCTCGGCTCACTACGGCCTTTGCCTTCTGGATTCAAGTGATTCTCATGCCTCCGCCTTCTGAGTAGCTGGGATTACAGGCGCACACCACCACAGCTGGCTAATTTTTGTATTTTTAATAGAGATGGGGTTTCACCATGTTGGCCAGGCTGGTCTCGAACTCCTGACCTCAGGTGATCCACCACCCTAAAGTCAGTTTTTAACAAGGAATTTCAGTTACAACGAAGAATGTTCCAACAGATAAGCTACCAACAAGGCTTGAGAGGGAAAAAGACGAGTCACATTTTTGTTGTGGTTGTATTTTCTTTTTTTTTTTTTGAGACAGAGTTTCGCTCTTGTTACCCAGGCTGGAGTACAATGGCGCAGTCTCGGCTCGCCACAACGTCTGCCTCCTGGGTTCAGGCAATTCTCCTGCCTCAGCCTCCTGAGTAGCTGGGATTACAGGCATGTGCCACCATGTCCAGCTAATTTTTTGTGTTTTTAGTAGAGACGGGGTTTCACCATGTTGACCAGGATGGTCTCGATCTCTTTACCTCGTGATCCACCTGCCTTGGCCTCCCAAAGTGCTGGGATTACAGGCGTGAGCCACCGCACCCGGCCCTGTGGTTGTATTTTCAAAAGAACTTACCTTATCTCCAAGTGACTGAATGACTGAGTGAGGGAAAGAAGGGTTTTGTCAAGTGGGTTCTTGGGGTGGCATTTTATTAAGGTGCCACAAAAAGTAACTATTTATGTAAGATTTCAACATGCTGGGATTTAGTTATCTTGGAGGGGCAATAAGGTGACAGGGTTATGTTTTCTAAAAAGGCAGAAGGGACAGACACTATTGTCACATTTAGTTTCCCTGAGAAAATGTTTAATGAATGTGAGTAAATATGATGAGGAGTACAGAAGATTCTGGGCTCTGGAATGCCCAGAAGGGCACCTTCTGTCCTTTGGCTCCAGCTACAAACATTGGTTTGGGCGTGCCTGTCCCAGCAGGACTCAGGACGGGGAGACAGCCCTCCAGCTGGCCATCAGAAACCAGCTTCCGCTCGTAGTCGATGCGATATGCACCCGAGGAGCTGACATGTCTGTGCCGGATGAGAAGGGGAACCCGCCGCTGTGGCTTGCATTGGCAAACAACCTGGAGGACATCGCGTCCACTCTGGTGAGACAAGCACAGCATTAGCTTCTGCTTACAGATGGGCACAGATGGTGTCAGATGGATCTGGTGCCTCTATGGCTGTCACAGGAGCGAGAGACCTGCCAAGTAACAAAGTGGGGCAAGGAGAGGCAGTTGACAGTCACGTTAAAGAAACTTGCAGTTCAACATGAGCTTGGCCAACACTTTTGTTTGTAGCCTGTCTTTACCAAGAAGACTACCGAGAAGCAAGAGAAGGGCGGCATTTCCTCAGGAGCCTTCTCCTGGGGTTACTGTTCTGATGTGGGCTCTCCTTGTCCTCACCACAGTGATCATTTCCCCAGTCTTAGCTTTATCTCCCTAGTTTGCAAGACAGGCCCCAAAAGTGGAGGTAAGCCTGCAGGTTCCCATTTAGCTCCCTGAAGGGCCTGCAGTGTGATATGAAGGCATCGTGCACTGGAGGGTTCACCCAGACATTGAGGTTACCTGTTAACGACAGGTGTGTGTTGCCGAGGACCTGTTGGTGCATGTGAACACAGACACTTTGTGTTTTCCGTCCCTTCTAGGACATAGCTGTAAAGGACATGAATTAAACATTCTTGTTTACGCTTCCCAAATCTGTCCCACAGGACCTAGTGCAAGAAAGAACTTTCACACAGCAAATTTTAATTCGTGTCTGTAAAACTAATGAGTGATACAAATTATCATTTAATTATCACCTGTAACTTATCTGAAAATGGATTTACTGTTATACATAGAGGTTAGACTTGGTAATAAAAATGTTCGCCTTTGCTCAGCAGTGTTTATGATAACCTGTGCTGTTCTGCAGGTCAGACACGGTTGTGATGCCACATGCTGGGGCCCCGGACCTGGTGGCTGCCTCCAGACGCTCCTGCACAGAGCCATTGACGAAAACAACGAGCCCACCGCCTGCTTTCTTATCCGCAGGTGTGAGGGGCCCCACTATCTCTTGAAATCTGTTGAGTGACCTTATTGCAAACCGGCTCTTTACCTTTCTAAATCTGCCTACGGTCTTGGCATGCCAGTAGCTGGCTTTAGTTTCACAGTTAAGGGTGTCACAGGGTCACTGTTCTGTCATGTCAGGTCAGACAGGAGCCAGGCTCACTTGTGAAGGGAGGCGCTCACAGGCCTGGATCAAAGAATTTGAATGTTTAAGTCAGCGTCCTTCTTTGGGAGCTGCCTGGGCTCCTGTAGTCATGGCAGACCAGTTCAGACTGTGGAGCCAGGAGGCCATGCAGGGGGACCAGACGGTCTCTGCAGGACCCCACCAAGCTGTGTGAGTCCTACCAGGCTCCGTGGCCCCCGTGGAGTGTGGGATATGTGGGAGCCAAGGTTATTCAGGAACCTTTAGAGCAGTGGTTCTCAAACTTACGGTTTTCAAACTTTTCTTCTTTTTTTTTTTTTTGAGTCTCGCTCTGTTGCCCAGGCTGGAGTGCAGTGGTGCGATCTCGGCTCACTGCCACCTCTGCCTCCCGGGTTCAAGCTCTTCTCCCGCCTCAGCCTCCCGAGTAGGAGTGCAGTGTTGTAATCTTGGCTTACTGCCACCTCCGCCTCCTGAGTTCAAGCGATTCTCATACGTCAGCCTCTCCACTATCTGGGATTGCAGACGCCCACCACCACGCCCAGCTAGTTTTTGTATTTTTAGTAGAGATGGGGCTTTGCCATGTCAGCCAGGCTGGTCTTGAACTCTTAACCTCAAGTGATCCGCCTGCCTCGACCTCCCAAAGTGCTTGGATTACAGGCGTGAGCCACTATGTCTGGCTGGTTTTCAAACTTAAAATACATACATATGTATACATGTACCTTCCCCTGGGGAGTTTTTAAGTGTTCTGATATCCAGGTTGCCCACCCCCAAGGCCAGTCACAGAAGACTCTATGGGGCTGGGAGCCCAACTCTGAGGCAAGGCACTGAGGACGGCAGACCCTGCATAGAGCCTGTGGGACTGGAGGAGCCTCCTGCTTCACGTTCAGCAGCATGCTACAGGCCAGGTCGAAGCCGGCCTTTCTAAACACCTTCCCATTGCTTTCAGTGGCTGTGACGTGAACAGTCCCAGGCAACCAGGTGCTAATGGAGAAGGCGAGGAAGAGGCTAGAGATGGGCAGACCCCTTTGCATCTGGCAGCCTCTTGGGGGCTGGAAGAGACAGTCCAGTGTCTTCTGGAGTTTGGTGCCAATGTGAATGCGCAGGTATGTCGTTTCTCTTTTCCAGGGAGAGAGATGGCAGCCCCAGCATGAGGGAAACCTCCTCTGAGGGCAAGGGACCTTGCACTTCCCGGCCCACGCCCCACTTCTTCATGAACAGGGCTGCATTACTCACATCCTCCCTAGCAGTGTTGACGATTGCAGGGTGACATCTTCTCTGTGCCTTCGTCCCTTCTCCAACAGGAGGAAGCTTGGGTTCAGCTGTTTCTCTTTGCCTCCTCTTCCTCCTTAGTCATAGATTTCCATTGAGAGTTTAGTCGCAAATTGAGTGCTGTATTTAGGAAAATGTCCCAGTAGCTCACTTGAATAGCCCCCTGAGTTATGCCCTTTAATGCCTTTCAACATTCTAGCCTGTGAAGATTTATATACAAGGCCCTGTGGCCAGATGAGGGTGGCAGCTTAGAGCAGAGACTTGCTGCGGATCTAAAGTACATTGTTTGTGCTGGGCCCACAGCCACCACCGACCGGGTCACTGGAACGTGCTGTAACAGGAAGTGACTTTTCGTCATTTCTGTTTGGCCTCTTTAAAAGCTGGGTCAAGCACAGGGCGGTAGTATTGATTGATGCTCGTAACTGAAATTTCACTTTAAAGTTTTAGCCCTTCCTATTTTTCCTGAGTTTTATCTTGCATCTGTGCCTTGTCCCCCCAGGATGCGGAAGGAAGAACACCCATCCACGTGGCCATCAGCAATCAGCACAGCACCATCATTCAGTTGTTGATCTCTCACCCCGATATCCATCTGAACATCCGAGACAGACAAGGGCTGACCCCGTTCGCCTGTGCCATGACTTACAAGAACAACAAGGCAGCCGAGGCCATTCTCAAACGAGAGTCCGGGGCTGCCGAGCAGGTGCGTGAGTAACACCCAGCGTTCTCCGCCTTGTCCTGGGCCCCGCAGAACCTGGAGACTACACAGATGTCACCGACTGAACAGGTCTCTGTGTAAAGGGCTTTGCTTTGAAATTGTTCTCCCTTTCCTCCAATGTGGCTGTCGAGTGTCCCGTCAGTGCAGGGTGAGGTCTGGCTGCACCGGACGACGCCAGGCTTAGACGGAGGTGGAGCCACTGGGCTCCACGGTAGGAATTCTGGGCTCATTCTCTGTTAGAGCGCATTCTTTGCCATTGCTAGGTTGGTTAACTGTCCTCGTAAAGAATGTCTTTAAAAGCTTTGAAATGAACTCGGAGAGCTTGTGCTGTGCTGTTGGGACAACGTGGACTGTTTGGGAGGAGGTCAGCGATTCCACTCAGCAGGCTGGGCTGGCCTTGTTCTTTGTGCCTCTTTACCAGCTGCAAAACCTGGAAGGTGAACTGTTGATCTGCAGCAACAAACTGGGTGGGAAATGGCCGTAACAGCTGATCTGAGGTGGGAGTGGGGCGCGCACGAAGTCAGTCCGACAGAACCTCATCTCCAGCCAGCACCTGGCATACTGCCAGGACTTAGAAATGGCAGTTCATGACGGTGAGGTGGACACTCGGGACCTGGATGAAATGGAATTCTTGGCGGGTGGAGATGATGGCTCGGTATCTCAGGGTTCTCATACCATGTGTCTTTGACATTGCACAAGTGTGACTGGATCATGTAGGCGTTCACCTCACATTGGCTCAGGTGGTGTGAAATGGCCATGAGTGGGGCTAGTCTTTTCACGGGTCTTCTCTCCAGTGTGAAACTGTACTGTTGATCAGAGTGCTCTGCA